AACTCATAAAATTTCTACGAAATTTGGTTGAAATTTTGAACCCTGCTGCCAAATGTGGTAGTTCTAATCCTTCTATTGCCTAAATGATGAACTAAATGATCATTTATCTCATTTAATCATGTTTAATTCAATTTTGTTTAGAACATTTAGATGGTTTAAACGGTCCAACCATTTAATTCATTGTTTAGAGCCTAAAAGACAAAGGTGGCCTTTGTTTATTATTTAAATGATTGATGGCAATGATGAAAGAATCTAGATGGCTAGAGGCTGAGTGAATAAACTATAAAAATTTATACAAATGTCACAAGATTAGAGCAAATTGATTAGTATAAAATATGATCCTAATAGCATCTACTTGTTTATATGTAATTCATCCAAGCAAAGCCGCTACATAATTTTAGTAGCAATTGAATCTATTCTAATTCAATTCACCACACAAGAGCTACTAGCTACACAAGGCTACTATAGTTCTAGCTAAACTACTGAAGCAACTAGCTAGCTACTTCTACAAACTAACCAACTAACTACAACTAGAGCTAGCACTAACAAGCAACTGCCACACAAGCTAAATATGAATGAAATGAGCAAGTGTAGTGGTCTATACCGAACCGGGCAAGAGATGGAGACAACCAATTTATCCCCGAGGTTCGGTTATTTGCCTATAACCTACGTCCTTGTTGTGGCAGTCTCGATGTGATGATCCGCGCACTAACAAGTGTTACGAGCTTGACCCTCAATGTGGGTGTCACAAGGATCCAACACAAGGAGCACTCCAACTAGCCACGAGCATTCCATTAGAGTTGCTCTTCATGATCTCCTGTAGGGATTAGTACAAAGAGCCCCTTACATCAATTAATCAGAGGCAGCAACAATCACCACAAGCCCCACAATGATCCCATGAGCTCTAAGCTATCTAGGGGTGACGGCAATCAGCAAGAGTAACAAGAACACCAACAACCACCATGCTAAACTAGTGCCACGAGATGCAAACCGGCGATGCAAATGCACTAGAGACTCTCCGCTCTCACTCAGATGTGAATCAAAATGATGTAAGTGTGGGGTGTGTTTCTTAGCTCTCAAAGGGTGTACACAAGTGCTAGGGGTGCCAAGAGAGTGGCCAAGGCTGTCCACACCATCAATTATAGAACCACTTGAGAATCCAACCGCTACCCTCTAGAGCCTGCTGTTCTAAGCACCAGAGTGCTCACACCAAAGCTCCCAACGGCTAGTTTCCAATGGCAAAAAAATAGTCGTTGCGCTGTACGGGCACTCCAATACACCTTTGGTGGAGGCACCGGAGCGATCCAATGGGTGCATCGCCCCCAAACACTCAAAAAACATGCTCACTAGAGTCATTGCCCGGTGTGACCTCCGATGACCACACTAGACATCTCCTATGAGCCCTTTTGAAATTCTCGCGGCTCAGAACAACTAGTACCAGATGTCACTAGGTGTTGATTTACATGCATTTGCATTAGATTTACACCTAGCGGCACCATATGTCGGCTCAAACACTTCTGATAACCGTGTTTGCTTTTGAGCTATCTATCATAAAGTCGACCACACACTCTATTCTGTCTCGTACAGTGAAAACAAAAACCTTTAACATATACCTGTGTCTACGGGTTTGTTTCCACCTTTCCATCTCCTACAAGCTAAGTGTGAGCTTGCAGTGGCGGATCTAGAAAAATAAGCCAAGAGGGGCTTATCTTCTAATCTTTCGTCCTTAGCCTCTCCTTCCAAACTTGAATAGGTATAAATTCATAGGAGGGGCAAAGGAGGGGCTCCATGGTCGGAGCAGTGGTAGCAGTGTCTCGAGCCCACCCCGCCCCAGTGTTGGATCTGCCCGTGTGAGCTTGCTCCATTTTTATTGATCAACCTCCATCCATCTCCAAGCCTTCCTCACCACCTTTGTGTGGTCCTAACTTAGCTTAGTCAACACTTAGCAAAAAGGTTAGTCCATTAGTTGTCTCAATTATCGAAACCAAACATAGGGCTTTCAAATGAAGAAATAAAGATGTGTTTGGTTTTGGGATTTTGAGGGACGCAATGGATCCATTCTAGGTTTTTGAAATGAAATGGTTCCATCTCAATGTTTTGTTGTGGGACGGGGACAACCATATTCTTTGTTTAGTTGGAGGGACATGAATGAACAGGATAAAATCATCGTTTGTGATCCATTAGACATCCGTTGGATGGGATGTCACACACACACACACCTTATTCTTCCTTCCTCCTGCCAACATCTGTCGCAACCCATCGCCACCATCCCCTACATCGGCCATGGCCCCCAGTCCATGTTGTTGCCCTTAGCCCTGGGCCTCGTTGCCTATCCTGGCCGTGATGGCAGACACACGCCGGTTCGAGGTCGCCCGTCACTACTAGAAAAATGATTTTAGGAGACAACCTCTTTGATTAACGAAGGCGGACACACCTAGAGACTACCTCCGTAAATGGTCAGGGGACCTCCGTAAATCATTACACTGAAAATCATCGATTAACAGAGGCAGCAGCCTTAGGGCACCCACCTCCGTAAATTGATTTTCAGAGACGGTCACCTTAAGATGTCTGTCTCTGAAAATCGCTATTAACGGGAGCAGACATTCTAAGCGTCCATCTTTAAAAATTGATTTTAAGAGGTGGATATATTAAGATGCTTGTCTCTATAAATAGTTGCATCTAAAAATAATTCATAACTTTTTCATATTAACTTGGATGAAAACAAACTTTACATCACAATTGTATCCCACGACATGACCTATAACTTTGTAGTTGAAAAGTTTTTTATTTGAAACTGTTTAGAGTCCCAGAATATTATCTTAAGTTCATATATTTTGAAATTTGAAATTTAGATTGTTCAAACAACCTTGGATATTGATATGGTTTGTACCAAAATTGTAGTTTTAACCACAATGTACAGCTTTGTAGTTGAAGAGTTTTCTATTTGAAGTCGTTTAGAGTTCCAAATATATGTCATAAATTTATAGATTTTAAAAATCTAAAATTTATAATTTCTAAACGAGCTTAAACATGCACATAGTTAGTATCAAAGTTATAGTGGCCGACCAAATCTACATTTTTCTGTTGATAAGTTTTTAATTTAAAGTTATTTAATGTCTCAAATATTTATTTTAAGTTCACATATTTTTAGATTCAAACTTTTAACTTTTTAAAACAAATCTGGCATGGAGACACATCCTATACCAAAGTTGTAGTGATGGCAAGATTTAAAACTTTGTAGTTGAAACTTTTCATTTGAGTTCATTTAGTAGTCAAATTATTCAATACTACAAGATTACAGAATATTTGTTAAAAAAGATAGAATCTTATATATATATATATATATATTCACGGGTGATTTGGTGGTGCAGTAGTAAGGAGATGTAGTCGTTGAGTTGTATGTCATGAGTTTGAGTCCTAGGAAGATGGTGAAGGGCCCCTTTGCAAAGTATGGAGGACAAGATGACGGTTTGCAGTGAACGGGGGGCTGGGATCAAAGCTTGTCCAAGCGCAGCCCGCGGAGGAGCTTGCCCGTGCGGCTCACAAAGGCTAGAGCGGAGCTCGCCTGCACGCCTCATGGCGGTTGGCGCGGAGCTCGCACGTGCGCCAGGGCGAAGCTCATCCGCCGAAGATGCCGGAGCCACGCTCGCCATCCTCGTTGTCGCCGACTAGGAACAAGGTTCCGGCGGGTGAAGAAAAGGGCGTGGCATATATGGTGTGGATAGAGCAAATTCTGGCGCAGAAGAGGCAAAATCGCGCGCCCGTATCTTGATACCGCGCCCTCGCCTAGAGACGAGCGTGCCATACAACACTGCTCTCGGCCGGTGATAGGACTTGGGAGCACGCGTCGGGCTCGTCGTCTCGTGAGACGCCTAGTCTGCACTCTCTTCTCATTAAATAGGGTTTGGCGGGGGTTTTCTATTCGCAAAAATACACATTACACAGACGGGCTCTATAGACATGTTGTCCAGCTTGCAATATGTTATATTTGATTTATGTTTCATCTATTTTATATTAAATAGCAACATATGGTATTCACGGCTGATCATTACCATATACAAGCACTAAATGACTTGCAGATAGTCAAATAGACACCTCATTGTAGAGGTTTTTTGTTTAACTGTCTGTGTTGCAGATTCAAGAATTTACAAACGACCCCTTGTTTCTACGTTGAACATGTCCTAAGCATATATTTCAGCTTTTTCTTTGGATGGCATTTATTTATTTATTTTCATTAAAAAACAATTGCAAATTTTACAAATGTTCAGTAACTGTGGCATAAAATTTATCTACGAACTTTTAATATTTACATTTTTAGAAGTAGCACCACAAATTGATCATCTATCCGAACAGATCAAGTATATATTGTAGTACTTGCGTCCACTCGGTTTATACATACACCCCGAGGCTCGTCGAGCGCCAGGATCTCCTATATACTTCCTCCGTCCCAAAAAAAATGATGTTTTGAATTTTTTCAAACAGATTCGTGGAGAAGAGAAATGTCTCTAATACCCTTAGTTTGTTACACATGGTTCCCTTAAAAAGAAGAAATGTGGCGTGGTTTAGTTGCCTAATTAAGACATGTTGCATGCAAGCATGCAAAGATCCATGGGAGCAATGAACCACATATCAATTGGTAATTTGGCACCTGAGCAACCAAGGAAAGGGCCGGATCTGTAGCGCATGCAGGAGTCAACAAATTCTTAGGCCAATAGAGTGCCTAAAGCTCAAAACAAAAAATTTTATGGGCAAATTTTAAATCTCAGGACATCATTTTTTTTTAACGGAGAGAGTACAAGAAACAGATTTTCCAAACAAATAATGGACAGTACCAAAATTGTTTGTTCATAATTTTCCTCTTATATAAACAGAAAACGGATATGAATCTAATGAAAAAAAAACTGGGGATCTTTTTTCAAATAAAAAATAAACTAGCTGTTTTACACATACTCCGTACACGCACTTCGCTTGTCAGCACTCAGCACCACGGGGGCCGGCGGTTAGTGGTGCTGGTAGTGGCAGTAGTAACCGTAATAACGAGAGCAGTAATACGGCGGCAGTTCCACGACCTTGGGTTTCTCCTCCGGCTTCTTGTCCTTCACTTCCTCCACCTTCACGATGTCAGCGTGGCCAAGCTTCTTGCGCAGGCACGTGACCAGGCACACGGTGTCGACGTCTACGCCGACCACCTCCAGCTGGTCCTTGCCGTCGCCGATGATCCCCATCGAGCTGACCCCTGCAAACATACACATGTACGTACGGGGATCGTTAGAACAATCCATAATGCGCGTTAGCAGAAGCACATGAACATGGAAGTTCAGGCATGTAGAGTGCTTGCGTACCGTCGGCTCTGGCGACCAGTGCCATGGCCTTGGACCGGCTCTTCTCAGACGACATGCTCACCTTGATCACGATCTTTTGCTGCGAACAACAACGACGACGATGAACACGAGGACACAGAGAGACGGAAAGCAGGGCAAGAAGGAGCAGACCGAAACGGTAGTGTTGCTGCCAGTTGGTTAGTCAGTTAGTTGGTTACCTTCATGTCGTGCTGCTGAATGCCGACAGACAGGGTATACGCGCTGCTGCAGAGCAGAGGCGAAGAGGGACAGGGCAGACGAACAGCTGCGAGTTCGCGAGCGGCAGGACTAGCTGCTGACGACTGGGTGGCTACCCTGATCGCTGTTGCTTGCAGGTGAACGTGAGCAGCTGGCCGAGAGCGGAAGAACCGATGGACTTGTGAAGGAGCCAGCCATGGCTAGAGCTCTTATATAAGACGTGATGACCGATGGAGCAGAGCAGAGTGAAGAACGTTCATGGCAGGTTAGGTGAGCTTCCAACCAATCCAAGTAGACAAGTCCTACTAGCTAGCTAACCGTGACCGGTTGACGCGTTCTAATCGATCTCTAATCGAAAAGACTTTGGTTAAAGGCCCGTTTAGATTCCAAAAAATTTTGCGCAGTACCTGTCACATCAAATCTTGCGGCACATGCATGGAGTACTAAATGTAGACGAAAAAAAATCTAATTACACAGTTAGATAAGAAATAGTGAGACGAAACTTTTAAACCTAATTAGTCCATAATTAGTTAAATACAAACGAAATTGCTACGGTAGCTAAAATCTAAAAAATTTTGGATCTAAACGGAACCTAAACATAAACGACGAGTTGACTTGCTCCGGGCCGGCCCGAGCTCCAGTGCCAACTAGCCTCGGTCGTCAGGCCTCAGTTGCGCGCTTCTCCGAAGCCGCGGCTGCGGCCGGGCGGGCGGGCGCAAACCGCGTTCCAACTTCCAAGTGTAACAAATCAACGATCAGTGCAGTGCAGCTAGTGGTGGTCCTGAATCCTGAAAGCCTGCAGGCCCTGTCCATCCCGCTAGTGGTGGTCCTGATCTTGAAAGCATGTTCGCTTACTCTTATACGATCGTGGATTATAAGCTAAAATAGTATTTTTCTTTCACACCAAACCAGCCAGCAGTAAATAATCTACGATCGTTTACGACGAAACGAAATGGCTGAGCTTGCAGTGTTTGATCTTTGCTAGCCATTTCTGAATGGCGATTCAAGTTCGAAAGTGGGATGATGGTTAGTGTGAACGTGCATGAGTCAACTGTGGTTGGCATCGGTACACCTCAAAGTGCTGCTCAACTGAGGCCCAGATGCAGCATCATACTTAGTAGTTACACTAATGCATGCACATACATCTCCAAGAGTAAGCTAAAACAAGTCCCTAAACTCGTTTTCTGGCGCACTGGTTGGCAGCGGCGGCGGCGTTCGGCCGAGGAACAAATTATAAGCAACTGTTAGAAAAAGACACAAAGACACATAATTAGTTAGTTTCGTACGGAGATTTTTTTTTTTTTTTGCCAATCGGAATAATCAATAATTCAGCAGGTACTTTAAGGAGCTCGAATGATTGGTTGCTTATCTTGCTGCGATCTAGCCTCATGTACCTCGCTACCATATGTTCCTTTCAGTGACGTAAGCACGCTCGTCCGTCGTCAGCATCAGCACCACACATCAGACAAGTCAACAAGGCGAACCTGCGACTTTCCTCTCCCAGTGCAGTCTCCAGTCGTCGCCTATGACGAACTCCGTCAGTCACAGTCACAATTGAATGGTTCAGAGCAACACAGTGTGCACCGTGCTCTACGTCACAGAACAGGTCAAGTGGCCAGTCGGTCCCTGCCTCGCACGGTCGCACCGTGTTGCGCCCTCTAATTTTGACAAATCAGCCAGTCACAGTAAGGTGCTTGGTGGGAGCATTCAGCTCTTCAAATTTATTGAGATGACCAAATACTTGTTGGGATGAGAAAAAAAAAGTTAACATAATAACAGAATGTTTCTTCTCGGTTGCTGTATACTGAAGAAAGTTAGGTTGTATACTAACTAAAAGAAGATCATTTGCATTGCATTACCCCAATCCAAATGGCAATGGCCCTACTGAAACTGAATAATAACAGAATGTTTCTTCTCGGTTGCTCCATCCACAGAATGACAGTCCATGGGGGCCTCTTGGCAGGACAGGTGATTTCTAGTCTTAGCCGTGCCTTAGCAGTATCATCAATTTCGCCTCTGCTTCATCCTCTTTAAGTCAACAAGATGCTGATGTAATTAGCTCTATGGCCTAAATCACATTCACCAGAAGTCTTCACAAGAACAAGAGCCTCCACTGAAATGATGGAACCTGTTGGCATCACGGACCACAATCTCCCTTTCAAAGAGCTTGGAAACTAGCTTGGTGAACTCGTGGCAGTCACCACACACCCTGAGGTTCTTGGCTATTCTTATAGGCATGCCTGGACGAGTGCTGATCAAGCCAAACGCTATTGCGAGTCTCTCACTGTGCTTATGCAGCATATCTATCTTCTCCTCTTTGCTCACATCATGAAGAACAAATCTTGTGTCCTCCACGTACCCACCTTCTTTCCTCAGCTTTTCTGTTATCTCGGAAAGCTTGAGATGGATTGCTTCTGAGTCTCTATGACAGTAATCTCCTGAGGTGAAAGTGTGGATATTGTTCCCTATCTCAATCCAACTGCAAGCTGGATTTTTTCTCAACCCCTGTTCTGCCATCCTGGTTCTAACTTCCTTGACATTGTCCCACTTGCCCATCTCAGCAAAAACATTTGATACAAGAATGTAGTTGCCTGGGTTGTCAGGTTCCTGCTCAAGAAGCTTATTGGCTACAACCACAGCAAGGTCATAGTTCTTGTGGACTCGACATGCGCCAAGCAGTGCACACCACACAACTGATTTTGGGTCCATAGGCATAGACTTTATGAACTCGTAAGCCTCCTCTGTCTGTCCTGAGCGTCCAAGAATATCAACCACACAGGCATAGTGCTCCTGCCATGGTTTTAACTTGTACTTGCTCGTCATTATATCTAGATAGTGTTTACCCTCCTCAACAAGCTTCGAATGACTACAAGCATACAACAGAGCAAGAAAAGATACATGATCAGGAGTCAGACCAGTCTGCAGCATTCTCTTGAAAAGATCAATGGCTTGCTTGCCATGTCCATGCATCCCAGTAGCATTAATCATTGCTGTCCAAAGAACCACATCTTTACGTTTAGCCCGTTCGAATACTCTGATAGCATAGTTCATGCTTCCGCAACCTGAATACATGTCCACAAGGGAACTAACCACAGGACCTTCTATAGGAAAATTCCTTCTGACAAGAAAGCCATGAACCTGTTTTCCTTTTGTCAAGGACGACAAACCAGCAATAGCCACCAGAATACTTACTAGTGCTACAGAATCAGGTTGAATATTTGCCTTTTGCATCTCCGTAAACAAGGAAACAGCTTCATCTAATCGCCCGCTATTTGTGCAAACTAGTCCAACTAACAATGTCCTTTTTCTCTACCCTCTGAAATAAATTTAGTGAATGATCAAACTCTCCACACTCCCCGTATATATCTGTCAGTCTATTCTTCAGTATCAAATCAAGCAACCCATTTCTAATAGCATAAGCATGCACTTGCTTTAGCAGAGAGGTGCTTTTCAAACCGCTGCATGTTTCTAAAATACTTCCAATCATCATAGAATCCACCATAATCCCTTCTTTCTGCAATTCTAGAAACATTTCCAGTGCTTCAGAATGTCGTGAACTCTGAGCAAAACAAGCAAGGATTGTTGTCCATGATATGTGATCTCTAATACTCGTGCTTTCAAATACCTTCGCTGAACACTCTATGGAGTCACACTTTATGTACATGTCCATCAATGTATTCCCAACCTGTAAATCAGTATGAAGCCTCTGCTTTATAGCATACGCATGAACCTCTCGACCATTGTTTAGCCTACTCAAATGTCCCAATGCAGAGGACAAGCTCACAACACAGGCATGATCAGGCTGAAAACCATGTTGAAGCATTTCACCAAAAAATTCAATGGCCCCCGCACAGAAACCATTTTGGACGTAGCAGGACAGCATCGAATTCCATGATATGTAGTCTTTCTCAGCAATCTGACCAAATACTCTGAGAGCACTATCCACCCTGCCACATTTGGCATACATGACAACCAAAGCGTTGAACTGGATGTTCAACTCACTGCCGCATTTGAGGAGTGCTGCATGTAACTCCCTTCCCAAACTCAGCAGAGCTAGCTCCGCACAAACTTGGAGCACCGCGACGGCCGTGTAAGAATTCATACCGAACCCGGCACTCTGCATCCCTCGGAACAGCGCCAGAGCTTCCAAGGCCCTCCCATTCTGCACGCACCCTGATATAACCGAGTTCCAGGACGCGACGTCCCTTGCGTCCTGCAGCCACTCGAACACCCGCAGCGCTGAATCCAGCAAGCCGCACTTGGCGTACATCCCGATAAGCGCATTGGCCACGAGGGTGCTCTTATCAAGTCCCACCTTCACCGCCAGCCCGTGCACCTCGCCCCCGCAGCGCCCGTCCCCTTCCACCCCGCACGCCTTGAGGACGGACGCGAGCGTGCAGCCGTCGGGCGCCGACCCCGGGGCCGCTGACGCCCGCATGGCAGCGTAGACCCGCAAGGCCTCGCCGGCGCTCCCGGACGAGAGGTACGCCCCGACGAGCGCGTTCCAGGAGAAGACGATCCGCGCGGGCATTCCGTTGAACAGGCGGCGTGCGTCGTCCACTCGCCCGCACCGGCCGTACATGAACACAAGCTTGGTGGCAAGGAAGCCATCATCGTCTTCGTCCAGGGAACCTGTGGCCAGGGCGTGCGCATGGAGCTGCCTGCCCTCCGCGGCCGCCCTCCTGGCGGCGACGAGGTCCAGCACCCAGCCGTAGTGCTCCCGAGCAGGCGGCGCCCGGGCCGTGAGCAGGTGCAACGCTTGACGCAGGTCGCCTTCCTTGCAGAGCCGCTTCAGGGAGGCCGAGGCGCCAGGCGGAGTTGGGAGGCAATACGGAGGGTGCGACGGGAGGAGTTCGGTGGGGGAGTGGTGGGAGGGACAGCGCGGCGGTGGCCATGACGGTGGCGAGCTTGGAGGCCCCGGGGAGCCGGACGCTCATGTCTGTGGCGAATTTTTTTTTTAACACATTTTGTAAACTAATTTTAAATC